GAATGAATACGGCACTAATATGAAGAAAGAAAAAGGCTCAAAAAATCTGTATATAGCTATGGAGGTTCATCTTAGTACGAAAGCAATCTTATTTTATAAAATTTTCCAAGACGGAGTTTGGTAATATGTGACCCTAGGACAGCATTTAGCTCTTCGCCTAACTGAAATAGTTAATAGACAAGAGCGTAATTCAGACTTTTGACAAGAGCAATTTGCTCTTCTCCCGGCAGCTGGTTTGGTGGGAGGAGAGATTTTGGTATGAGAAGGAGAAAGAGAAAGTGATGAATGTGAGAGAAGGGAAGGTAGCCCCAACCTGTTTTTGGCTCTGCCTATTTCTGACTTCAGAGCTGTTCACTTCCAGTATATGGTACTTAATAAATTATTGAGAGTGAATGAGGGCTTCAACAGAAGAAAGGTTCCCCATCCTGACCCAGAAATTAGAAATGCAAATCTATGAACTTTTGCATTCATCAATGCAGATCAGCACTTAATGTGGATCAATTAAATGTACTTCCTAACATGCAGAGTTTTAGGAACTTCATGGATCACTGCCTTGTTGTGGCAAAGGGGCTTGCGTAGCTCAATGAAGCTATGAGCTATGCCATACAGGGTCATTCAAGACGGACAGGTCATAGCAGAGAGCTCTGACAAAACGTGATCCACTGGAGAAGGAAATGGCAACCCACTCCAGTATCTTTGCCATGAAAACCCCATGGACAGTACCAAAAGGCAAAAAGGTATGACGCCGGAAGATGAGCCCCTCAGGTCGGAAGGTGTCCAATATGCTACTGGGGAAGAGCGGAGGGCTAGTACTAGTAGCGCCAGAAAGAATGAAGTGACCGGGTCAAAGCCGAAAGGACACTCAGTTGCAGATGTATCTGGTGAAAGGAAAGTCCGATGCTGCAAAGATCTATTCTCCATAGGAACCTGGAATGTAAGATCCATGAATCAAGGCAAACTGGATGTGGTCAAACAAGAGATGACAAGACTGAACATTGACATCTTAGGAATCGGTGAACTAAAATGGACAGGAATGGGTGAATTTAATTCAGATGACCATCAGGTATACTACTGCGGGCAAGAATCCCTCAGAAGAAATGGAGTAGCCTTCATAGTCAATAAAAGAGTAGGAGAAGCAGTACTGGGATACAATCTCCAAAATGACAGAATGATCTCAGTTCGAATCCAAGGCAAACCATTCAACATCACAGTAGTCCAAGTCTGTGCCCCAACCACTGGTGCTGAAGAGGCTGAAGTTGACCGGTTCTGTGAAGGCCTACAACACATTCTAGAATTAGCTCCAAAAAATGATGTCCTTATCATCATGGGGATTGGAATGCTAAAGTAGGAAGCCAAAAGAGAACCGGAATAACAGGCAAGTTTGGCCTTGGAGTACAAAATGAAGCAGGGCACAGGCTGGTAGAATTTTGTCAAGAGAATACGATGGTCATAGCAAACACTCTTTTCCAGCAACCCAAGAGGCGACTCTACACATGGACATCCCCAGACGGTCAACACAGATATCAGATTGACTATGTGCTCTGCAGCCAAAGACGGAGAAGCTCTATACAGTCAGTAAAAACAAGACCAGGAGCCAACTGTGGCTCAGATCATGAGCTTCTGGTTGCAAAATGTAGGCTTAAGTCGAAGAAAGTAGGGAAAAGCACTAGGCCACTCAGGTATGACCTAAATCATATCCCTGATGAATATACAGTAGAGGTAACAAATAGATTTAAGGAATTAGATCTGATAGACAGAGTACCTGAAGAACTATGGACGGAGGTGCACAACATTGTACAAGAGGCAGCAACTAAAACCATCCCAAAGAAAAAGAAATGCAAGAAAGCAAAATGGCTGTCTGAGAAAGCTTTACAAATAGCTAAGGAATAGAAGAAATAGAAGAAAACAATAGAGTAGTGAGGACCAGAGATCTCTTCAGGAAAATTGGAGATATGAAGGGAACATTTCATGCAAAGATGGACCAAAATGGCAGGGATCTAACAGAGGCAGAAGAGATTAAGAAGAGGTGGCAAGATTACACAGAAGAACTATACAAGAAAGACCTTAACGTTCCTGATAACCACGATGGGGTGGTCACTGACCTCGAGCCAGACATCCTGGAATGTGAAGTCAAATGGGCCTTAGGAAGTCTGAGCAACAACAAAGCTAGTGGAGGCGACAGTATTCCAGCTGAGCTATTCAAAATCGTAAAAGATGATGCAGTAAAAGTGCTACACTCAATATGCCTGCAAATTTGGAAAACTCAACAGTGGCCACAGGATTGGAAAAGGTCAGTTTACATTCCAATCCCAAAGAAGGGCAATGCCAAAGAATGTTCAAACTACCGCACTATTGCACTCATTTCACATGCTGGCAAAGTTATGCTCAAAATCCTACAAGCTAGACTCCAACAGTATGTGGACCAAGAACTACCAGAAGTACAGGCAGGATTTCGAAGAGGGAGAGGAACTAGAGATCAAATTGCCAACATACGCTGGATCATGGAGAAAGCTAGGGAGTTCCAGAAAAAGTCTACTTCTGCTTCATTGACTATGCTAAAGCCTTTGATTGTGTGGATCACAACAAATTGTGGCAAGTTCTTAAAGAGATGGGAGTACCAGACCATCCTATTTGTCTCTTGAGAAACCTATATGCGGGTCAAGAAGCAATAGTGAGAACTGGATATAGAACTACTGATTGGTTCAAAATTGAGAAGGAGTTCGACAAGGCTGTATACTGTCGCCCTGCCTATTTAACTTATATGCAGAGCACATCATGAGAAAGGCGGGGCTAGATGAACCACCAGTTGGAATTAAGATTGCTGGGAGAAATAGCAACAACCTCAAATATGCAGATGATACCACTCTCATGGCAGAAAGTGAAGAGGAACTAAGGAGCCTCTTGATTCGGGTGAAGATCATGGCATCCGGTCCTCTCACTTCCTGGCAAATAGATGGGGAAGAAATGGAGGTAGTGACAGATTTTTTTTTTCTGGGCTCCAAGATCACCGCAGACGGGGGACTGTAGCCAAGAAATTAAAAGATGCCTGTTCCTGGGGAAGAAAGCTATGGTAAATCTAGACAGCATACTAAAAAGCAGAGACATCACCCTGCCAACCAAAGTGCGTATAGTCAAGCCTATGGTTTTCCCAGTTGCAATGTATGGCTGTGAAAGCTTGGACCATAAGGAAGGCTGAGCACAAAAGGATTGAGGCCTTTGAATTCTGCTGCTGGAGGAGATTCCTGCGAGTCCCTCGGACCGCAAGGCGATCAAACTGGTCAGTCCTAGAGGAGATCAACCCTGACTGCTCTTTAGAAGGCCAGATCCTGAAGATGAAACTCAAATACTTTGGCCACCTAATGAGAAGGAAGGACTCCCTGGAGAAGAGCCTAATGCTGGGAACAATAGATGGCAAAAGAAGAAGGGGACGGCAGAGGATGAGCTGGCTAGATGGAGTCACTGAGGCAGTTGGTGTGAGCTTAGGTGGACTCTGGGAGATGGTGGAGGACAGGAGGGCCTGGAGGAATGTTGTCCATGGGGTTGCGATGGGTCGGGCACGACTTCGCGACTAACAACAACAAGGAACTCTGGAATCAATATAATTATTTTCTGGGACTGTTTATGGTGGAGGGGGGTGGGGTTTCTTTTTTCTTCCTAATCCCAAGACTGGGTTCTTGCTTTAAAAGATTTTGTGTATATTTCAATCATATGAACAATTTGTTTCAAAACCCGGTTTAACTGATGGAAACTCATATTAGAATTTTACCAGGATGCACTAAAGCTACTATTGTTTGCGTTCAAGTGACTATAATAAAAATCCAGTAGCTGGTAGTGATGAAACAGGAAATTCTGCACCTGTCAATGCAATGCATCTATGCATAGTCAAAAGTAAACCCCATTGAATTTGGTATTTATTTTCTTTTTGAATTTATATGCCACACACTAATCCAGATGGATTCTCTAGGGTGCTTACAGTAAAATACTAAAAATAACAATAAAAGCTGTTAAAATTACAATAAAAAGAATTAAATATCACAATATACCCATTAAGCAGAACAACAGATATCGAAATAAATTGCGAATTTCAAGACTTTTCTTGGAAGTATTCAACGAAATGTTTTTTCTTGGTGCCAAAACAAAGACAAACTTTGCACTAGGTGAATTTCTTCAGGGGAGCTGAGGGGCAGCCACCAAGAAGGCCCTTCTTCTGTTTACCATCTGCTTTATCTCCTTAAGGAATGGCTCTTTTAGAAGGACCCGCCCAGATCTTAATGGGTGGGTAGGTATATATAGGAGCAGATGGTCCTAAGCCATTTAGGGGCTTTATATGTCGAAACAACCACTTTAAATGGGACTTACTCTTGGGTAAATATGTTGAAGATGGCAGTTTTGATGTTCCAGTACATAAAGAATCTGAACAAAAATTCACTTGATAATGTTTTTTAAAGTCATTTAGGTGCTTTTGTGTTGGCAACAATATGGTTTTGCAATATCTGCCACAGCCAAATCAGGATTAGCTAAAAGCAATTCCCTTTACATAGAACCTAATACCACATAAGGGCTGCAAACTTAAGTTGACTGGCTAGATTAAAAATGTCTTCAACCGTGATTTAAAATATGATTGTTTCTTCAGAACTAGTAGTATATTCATATGTATGTTTATACAGGTTTTTAAAAACAATTTAAGATTTTACCAATAAGGTGTTGGTTCTACTTCTGAGTAAGCACAGGATAGGTTTTGGTGTAATCTGTAAAATATTTGGGATGACATACATTATCTTCGCTATTTTTTTTCAAATGGTTAACTGTAAATAGCTGAAAATGGTGAAAAATCCAATTCTAGTTGAAAAATAGCAGCTGCAGGAAAAGTATATGATAATTTAAAGATACTAAAGAGGGAACTATCCTATAACCTTTTCTTATTTGAAGGTTCTATATGAAGAGAAGGAATATGTGGCCATCAAGTTCTTGGAGAAAATAATTAAATTAATTTTATGCAGAATTATGGTTCGACTAACATTGGACCTAATTGGTAAAAGCCTCAATCAGAAGAATCGCCGAGATGAATCCTTGGCCCAGCATCTGAGGAAAACAACCCACCTCAAGTTATCTAATAAAAATATAGATATAATTGTAAGAATGTTTACATTATTTGAGAATACAGCTTTTGTTCAGTTGAATATTTAAGCCCTATTTAATTTTTTTTGCGGGTTTCTGTTAATGAATAGGAAAAGAGGCATAGGAGGGAAACTTCAAATTATATAAAATTTCATACCATTACAATAATCTTGGTAAAATATAAGTTACTTTTATTGATCTACAAGGTGATAATATTTAAGTTACTGAAAGCAGCTTTTATTTGCAGATAAATAATTTTCAGTCAGAAATGTAAAGTTTGTTTCCAGTATATTAGGGTACAGTGGTAAAGAATGGATGATTTTCAGAAATTTATTTTAAGCTTGCAAAGAAAGGCATTGTATACTGAGTCTACATCTCTATATTCTGTGATATTCTACTATTCCAATACAACGATGAACAAAAAAAAATATCCAAGTCCTAATGTGCTAATTTAGGAATGCCTAATGTTTTTGCCAGAGTTAGTACAATTTTTACCTTTCCTTCTGTTGGACAGCATACCCACATGCTGCATTATTAAGCACTTAGGAAAATTTCTTTTCAAAAGTAGTTTGTTGGAATGGCCAGGAAACACAACATCAGGGTCCTTTTCTCTGTATTGATTTTGTGCTGTTCTTGGAACTTGGTCTTCGTACATAAATATATTTGTGTATAAACTTTATTGTTATCAGAGGAAGCCCTACTCTGTATGGTTTCCATAAAAGAAGTACAGATGGGCTTTTTAATACAGAGACACCCCAGCTCTGGAGTGCCCACCTACCCAAAAAGTCTACCTGGAACCAGTGTTGTATTTTTTATTTGCACTGGCATTTAATATGTTTACATTTAGCTAGCTGAAATAGATGTAGACTTCTCAATTTTTAAATGTTTAGATTTTATATGATTTATATTGTATTGTTTAAATTGTTTTATATATGGTAACCTGAAATACTTTGGTATGAAAAAAATGGTTTATAAACTTCTCAAAAAATATTTTTCCAAGGATCGTGGGGCTAATATCCCCTTTTCTTTTGAGTTAGATCTTTTAGATTGTAAACCTGAGGATAGGAGCCTGTCTTAGTCTTAAGCTATGTAAGCCAATTCAAGAGCCTTATTTGGCTGAAGAGTGAGGTGAAAATTCTGTAAATAAACAAACATGATTTATGCAAGGTTTATGGAAGTATAACGGTCTGTGCACAGGAAAAAGGCTGTATCTGGGGGAAATGAACAGTTGCCCAGTAAACTTTACAGAATAACACATTTTCTTTCATTCTTTTAGGATGACCTCTCTTTGTGTAAAAACCTTAATGTCCTTTATCTGTATGATAACCAGATTAGACAAATAGATAATTTGAATTTTGCATCAAACCTAAGACACCTGTATCTGCAGAACAATTGCATAACTCGAATTGAAAATCTATCAGCATTAATAAAACTTGAGAAATTGTAAGTGAAAAATCAGTTTTTCTCAGTTTGTATTGATGTAATAATTAGGTGTAATGAATATATTTTGTTTCAAATATCACTGTATATTGCACAGGATCTTTAGAAATCCCGTTTGGATGCCTTATAATGTGCAAAGACACAAGGATGCCAAAGTTGAATGCTTTTTGGTGGATTAGCTCAGCACTTCTTTAACTGTTGTTAAAATGAGATAAATCTAGGAAAAAGATGGTTGTCAGTGACAACTAGCCTTAATGGCTATTTGCTACTTCCATTATCAGATGTAGTATGCTGAGGAAAACCAGTCACTGGGAAACTTAGGCAAGAGATTGTTCACTTGCATGTTTTTACTGTGGTCGACTGTTTAGCATTCTGGTCACACAGTGGCCAGACTAGGTGAATGTTGATCTGATTCATCATGGCTCTTCTTAAGGATGCAGTTCAATCAAGATGAGCATAAACCCCTGAACTTGGAAGATTACATTAATTCAGTATAGAGTAGGAGAGTGTTGCACATGATCTTTGCCTCCCACTCTTCTAGTTCTGCACTGTTGCTGGAGAATGTTTTTCAGAGAAACAGGGAAAACTGCTGACCAGGCTATCTCTGATCTTAGCTGTTCCAGTCACCTCCCCATACCAGAAATGCCTCCTTTGCCCTTTCAGGTTGCCTTATCAACCTCAAAAGAGGAGCTGGTACAGCTTCTTTCCATATTGACTATGTGAAAGCAGGGGAGAAGGTAGTGGAGTTCCGGTTCCCAGCTCTGATATTTGAGCTCTGGTCAGCTGCTTCAAAACTGGGAATCCAAACTATCCTATGGTCCCTCCCCGGTGCCCAGCAGTGCCTAGGAACATTTCCTTCCTTAGGATTGTTTTACAGTGAAGCCAGATTGTGGCTGAACATCAGGAAAAACTTACTTGGGGAGGTTGTGGGCAGTCTACACTGGAGGCATTTAAGATATAGCCAGACAGCCATCTGTTAGGGATGATTTCACTTGGAGAACTGTATTTGGCCCTTTCAACTCTGCAATCTATGAATTTTGGCTGGATTATTCCTCAAATTAGCAATTGATACTATTTTAAATAAGCATTTTTCTTTCTACTTTTATTATTAAAACACTTGTACTAAAATAATAAGCTATATAGCCAGTGTCATAGTCTGCTTAATACTGGATTTAAAATGATTTCATTATGTTCTAATTTTAAAAGAGTTTTACTTGGCAGTAAGCTCTGTTATATTTACTTCTAGAATTGGGCTAGTCTTATTACTATTTAATAAGATTTTTTTTTTCCTTTCAGAAATAGGTGTGTCAGTATCTTTTCTAACAAATTAGAAAATTAAAGCCTCTTTTATATTGTTCTCTTTCCAGGTATCTTGGTGGCAATTACATCACTGTAGTGGAAGGCCTGGAAACTTTAGAGGAACTGAGAGAATTACATGTTGAAAGCCAGCAGCTACCTCTAGGAGAAAAGCTCTTGTTTGACCCAAGAAGTCTTCATTCACTAGCAGTAAGAACATTGAATTTGGATGATATCTGGTAATAGATATTGCTTAAATTAAACAAGAATTATTATAGATGTATATTTTACTTTTATTTGTCAAAAATGTTATTCTCATAATAAGAGTGGCGATGTTTCATTTCATTAAAAACATCTTTGAAAATTAGGGTAAACAACAGTTTTGTTTTGCCAGAAGTTCTGATAATCATTTGTAGGTATACTTTATTTTGCATCAAAACCTGACTATTTTCAGTAGTAAAAAATGAATGAGGTAGTAAGAAGTGGGTAGAATATATATAATTTTAAACCATTTTGCGAAGCTTCACAAACCACAGGGTGTTCTTTCTCTCTATCTGTTTGTATATGTAGGTTAATATAGAACCTTGGTAGCATCAGTAAAACCTGTCATAAGTCACCATAGCCTCATCTTATTTGCCCCTACTCTATTACTTGAACCTCCTCTAAACCCTCTCTTCACTGGTCGTTTGTCATGTTCGAGCTTGCTTTTAATTTCTGTACAGTGTTTCAGAAGAAATAAAAATTAACAAAATCAGGCCTGTGAAACTGAAAGAGTTTGATACCTTTTTTAGGTCATCAGTGTGCCACAACCAACAAGTGTTGCAGGGGTGTGTAACTGTTTCCCCCACCAGATATTATAGCCTACAATCCCCATCAGGCCTAGCCAGCATGGCCAGTGATGAAGGATGATGGAAAGTGTAGGCCAAAATGTCTCAAGGACCACAAATTGATAATTTCCAATGCATGGGCAAGTAAGAAAGTAAAATAAAATTATAGACTAGTAAATTTGGAGAATTTTTTTAAAATGTGATACATAATGTATAGTTTAGGACTTAAATTGTTACTTTTAGGCATTAATCCAGGAGGAGTTTTCTCTCCCTTCTCTGAACAGAACCCTATTCTAATGCCCTATCACAAATGGTTCTTGAAACATACTCACCCATCTCAGTCCTCCCCTCCTCCCCCTCAAATATTGGGAGTTGTCAGCTCTTATTTGCAAGATGGATGCAATAATATTGTGCAATAGTCACTTTCCTTAGTACACTGGTTCTTCGTCGTGGCCTCTGTGCATCACACACATGGGTATTGTGCCTGCGCAGTGCCTTTGGCCGGAAGATTACAAGCTAACGGTTTTTGTCAGGAAAGCTCCACTCCCCCTCCCCCACAGCCTATAAAGAGCAGAGCGTCCACCATTTTGTTCAGTCTTTGCAACCGCCGTTCACTGTGCCTCATGCCGCTTTTGACTATCACTCTGACCGTTACTCGTATAGTTACTTCTTCTCGATTATTCTCCCAGTTATTATATCCCTGTTAGTTCTTGTTGCCTCTTATAGTTCTTGTTAGTTCGGTAGTTCTATCGTTCTACCTGCCTTTTGATCTTCTATAAAAAAACAAACAAACAAGCCAAAAATATATTCTTACCCTCTGCACTGTCTTCTTTTTTCCCTTTCTTGCAATGGCGCAGCGAGCGGCTTTCTGCAAATGCGCGGAATGCGGGTCAAAGATGTCTCTGACTGACCCGCATGTGACCTATGCCTCCTCTGCTTGTGGGAGGGGCATAGGACTGACAAGTGCTCTCACTGCCTGGCCTTCTCTAAGCAGGCCAGGAAAAATCGTGAGAACCGCCTCCGGAGGCTTCTGTGGGATCGGGCTCTCATGCATTCCGACCTACTCGTCGTCGCTCTGAAGCCTGGCTCTACTATGCTGGTCCCGCCCTCACACCCTTCAGATGAAGGCGCGTCTACCATGGGGGCCCCACCCGCTACTCCGAAGAAAAAGCGTGAGAAGCGTAAGCATGCTGATACCGACAAATCAGCAAAGAAGGCCAGGAAGGAGAAGCCTCCGAAACCGACTCAGTAGTCGAAGGATCTGGAGCGCCCACGGCATCGTGACTCGGGTTCGACGGCCCCCTCAGTACCTATGGCAGCCACTGTACTGACTCCACCCTATCCGGTACTCCAGGCGGCTATGAGGGTCGCCCCCCAAGGGTCCCCTCGACGTGTGGCTGACCTTCCTACCTAGCCGCTTTCAACTCTTCAGTGGGGGTCAATTTCTGATGGGGAAATTCAAGACACTCCCCCCAGGGCTAGGTCGCCCACGCCTATGCCGGTAGCCATGATGGAGGCAGATGTGGAGATATCCCCACCTAGGGTCCGCAGGAGTCGCTCAAGGGAACAGCGATCCGAGGGATCACATTGCTCCTACTATCCATCCTGGGGCGAACCACACTCTACCGAGTACTATCCCGCACCTAGGGATCAGTCTCCACCACCCTCCCGCGACCGTCCACTGTCCCTGGACCCGAGGGGCGCGTCCCCGATTCCTCGGGATGAAAGTAGCCAGTCCGTCTTGTCGGTGGAGTCCTCTTCTTCGGCTCCCCCATATTACGGTGCGGACTCCGACGACTCGGACATCAACTCAACCTCTCCTGACATCGCTGTGATCTCCCAGGGCCCTGCGTCACCGGACGAGTCTCACGTCTCCTTCGCGGAGCTGATGTCCCGGCTTGTCCAGTCCCTTGATATTGACGCCGTCCAGCATCCGGGACCTTCGACGGACAAGTTTTACGACGTCCGCAGGGAGCAGTCCACCTCGATCGTCCTGCCCTTGATCACCTCCCTACGGCAGGCAATGACACAACCCTGGAACTTGCCTTCTCACCCTCAACCCACGTCGCAGAGGTACGAATCCATGTACCAGGTTCGGAAGGAGAACATTCCATTCCTCCTCCGCCACCCCAAGCTGAACTTGGTCGTGGTGGAGTCCTCCCAGGGTAGAAAGGCAAGAGGCCACACCGCTCCGAGGGATAAGGAGGGACATAAGATCGACTCCCTGGCCAGGAGAGTCTGCGCAGCCTCAGGCCTGGGGCTGCGTATTTCAAACTACGAGGTGATGTTGGCGAGGTACCAGTATTTTATAATGCAATGCCTCCACAACATCGTCTTGACCCTCCCAGACCACCAGGGCGACCTGGCCAAGGTGCTAATAAAGGAGGTGATGCAGGTCGCCGTTCAACAGTTGTCCACAGCCAGGCACCATGTGGACACCAATTCAAGAGCCTTGGTCGGTGCTGTCTCTCTTCGCAGGCATGCGTGGTTGAGGAGTGCCAACTTCCCGGAAGAGACTAAGCACCGAATTGAGGAAATGCCCTTTGATGGGTCCGGGCTTTTCCATTCCAGGACTGATCATAAGCTCAAAAAACTCCATGAGTCCCACATGACGGCCCGATGGATGGAGCTCCAGTCTCAACCAAGGTGTAAGTGGGCATGGACCCGTCCGCCCTATAGACAGCCTTACCAGTCCAGGCAACAGCCTCAGCACAGGCAGCAGCAACAACAATGCCGCCGTCAACAGCCCTAATAGTGCTACCAACAGGGCCGCTGTTATGACGGAGATAGGAGACAGCATTGATGGGACTGGTGAACCATTCCTCTGACCCATCCCATACCACCCCCCTCTCATCTGGGGACCGGCTGCGAAGCCGACTCCCCATTTGGGAGTCCATTACATCTGACCGGTGGGTATTGTCCATCATACAGCACAGCTATCGGATAGAATTTGACATCGTTCCTCCATCAAGTCCGATCCAATTTACATCATGCTTGCCGGTATTGCTCGATGAACTACAACAACTTCTTCGTAAAGGAGCGATTCGTCAAGTAACCCCACCTGATGGACTCCACGGATTCTATTCCAGATATTTTACAGTCCCCAAGCGGGATGGTGGCCTACGTCCGATTTTGGACTTAAGTAATCTGAATCGATTCATCGTGACGAAAAAGTTTCGAATGACCACCCTCCAAAATATTTTGCCACTGCTAAGGAAAGAGGATTGGTTCGCCTCATTGGACTTGAAGGACTCCTATTTCCATATTGCGATCCATCCCAATTATAGGCTTTCCCTTCGCTTTGCTGTTGCTTCTGATTTGTACGAATTTACGGTTCTACCCTTCGGTTTGGCCACCGCTCCGAGAGTGTTCACTAAATGCATGGCCCCTGTCTGCGCTTTCCTATGCCTCCAGGGCATACAAGTTTATCCTTACCTTGATGACTGGCTCTTGGTCTCCAGGTCTAGGGGAGCACTCCTCACTTCCATCCGTATTACCTGTGCCTTATTGGACGATCTGGGCCTATGCATTAATATCGAGAAATCTTCTCTTCTTCCGGTACAGAAGCTTATATTCATCGGAGCCCATTTGGATTCGACGTTGGAAAAGGCCTTCCTCCCTCAGGACAGACAACTGACTCTCACTCGCCACATCCATCGAATGCAACGAGACGGGACGGTTCCAGCGAAGTCCATCCAGAGGCTTCTAGGACATATGACTTCCTCCATTGCTGTGGTACCACACGCCAGACTTGGACTTCGTCCTTTGCAGCTATTTCTCAACAAAGTGTTCCATCCACAGAGAGATTCACTGTCGAAGTTGCTTCGAGTTCCATCCTCAGTGCTCCATTCTCTACCATGGTGGTCGGTCCCAGCCAATCTGACTGTTGGGGTCCCCTTCAGGCCCTGATGCCCATCGATAACCATCAGTACCGACGCGTCTCTTCTGGGATGGGGAGCGGTATGCTCCATCCTGTATACCCAGGGCACGTGGACTCATTAAGAATCCACGAATCATATCAACTTCCTGGAGCTGTTGGCAGTTTTCAAAGCCCTATGTTCTCCCGAGGATGTTCTTCAACATCGGGTCGTTCAGATAACGTCGGACAACATAGCCACCGTCTTTTATCTGAACAAACAAGGTGGGACGAAATCTCTGACCCTGGCCAGACTTTCTGTGCAGATCTGAGACTGGTGCATTTTGAGAGACATTACACTAATGGCAGTCCATCTGACCGGTACGGACAATGTGGAAGTGGACCTTCTCAGCAGGCGCATGTTCACCTCCCACGAATGGGAGCTAGATCCTCAAACATGCGACGATCTTTTTCATCGCTGGGGGTTCCCCGACGTGGACTTGTTTGCCACTCAACAAGGTGTGCGAGACTTTCTGTTTGAGAGCGGGAATCGGGTGCGAATCCCTAGGGGACGCCTTCATGATCCCATGGAACAACCTGAATTTTTACGCCTTCCTGCCGATTCCTTTTGTGATGAGTCATAGCGAAGATTGTATACGATCGGGCCATGGGGATACTAATTACTCCTTGGTGGCCACGCCAACCTTGGTTTACCACACTGCTGGACATCTCTCACGGGGAATATTTTCATCTTCCACTGCTTCCGTACCTCATAACCCAGCAGGACGGTGCACTTCACCATCCAGATATACTGTCGTTGAAACTAACAGCATGGCAAATCCGATAGTTAATTTTGCTACATCTGTACCGACGGCAAGTTCAAGTGGTTCGAATCCTGCCTTCGAATCCACTGCATTCAGAACCTTCAAATCCGCTTGGGGTCAGCGCTGCTTCCTCTTTCGATCCACCAGCACTGTCAGATCCAACGATTGTTCCGCCGAATCCGACAACCTTTCATCCAGACATTCAACACATCTTGGATTCCGCTTTAAAGCCTTCTACACGGAAGTCTTACGCAGCTAAATGGAGACGATTTTCCTCCTTTGCCGAGTCTCATTCGTTCTCTCCATTTACATCATCGATACATCAAATTCTTCAGTTCCTCTTAGAACTACACCACTCTGGACTTAAACCATCTTTGATTAAATTGTATATGGCGGCAATCGCCTATCATCGTGGCATGGTGGACGGATAGCCCATCTTCTCTCAACCTACTATTAAGAGGTTTCTGAAGAGGCTTTATAATCTGAATCCATTGATCAGGCCAGTAATGCCTACCTGGAGTCTCTCTGTTGTTTTGCAAGTGTTTACAAGGGCTCCTTTTGAACTGTTGGCAACAGTTGATTTGCATCTTGTTTCATGGAAGACAGTGTTTCTAGTGGCGGTTACCTTGGCCCAAAGGGCTAGTGAGCTCTGTGCTCTCCGCGTAGACCCACCTTACCTCAACTTTCATAGAGAAAAGGTCATCCTGCGGTTTGATCCATCCTTTCTCCCTAAGGTGGCCACACCCTTTCATATGGGACAATATATTATTTTGCCTGCCTTCTTTCTGTCTTCGTTGACTCCGTTAGAAAGATCATTGCACTCACTTGACGTTTGGCGCTGCTTAGCCTTCTACAGATCTAGGACGGATTCTATTCGGCGCTCAAATAGACTTTTTGTTAAATATGCTATCAGAGATCAAGGCACCCCTGTCACTCCGCAGAGGCTTTCTAAGTGGATAGTCCATACTATCACTTTGACTTACCAATTGGCTAAGATTGACTTACCCACAGCTCCTCAAAGCCATTCGACTAGGGCTGTTGCTGCCTCTTCTGCCTTCGCATCAGGAATACCGATTGACGATGTATGTCGGGCTGCTACTTGGACAAACCCTTGCACTTTCGCCAAACATTATCGTTTAGACGTTTGAGCTCGACAAGATTGCTCCTTTGGCAGAGCCGTTCTTTCATCTGTTCTTCATTGAGGACACCTCCCCTCCTCCTTTTATGGTAAGCTTGTTAATCTACCCATATGTGTGATGCACAGAGGCCACGATGAAGAAAAGCAGGTTGCTTACCTGTAACTGATGTTCTTTGAGTGGCCATCTGTGCAGTCACACAACCCACCCGCCAGCCCCGCTCAGTGTCAATGGGTGGACTTTTTCGTCATACCAAACATTTTCATTATTTCTTGGTACCGATGTTGTTCACAGTAGAACTAATTTTTCCACATGGGGGTGTCCGTTCGGTCGTCAAAGACTGAACAAACTGGTGGACGCTCCGCTCTTTATAGACTGTGGGGGAGGGGGAGGAGAGCTTTCCCGCCAAAAACTGTTAGCTTGTAATCTTCCGGCCAAAGGCACTGCACAGGCACAGCACCCATATGTGTGACTGCACAGATGGCCACTCGAAGAACATCAGTTACAGGTAAGCAACCTGCTTTTATTGAAGTGGTAAATCTTTATTGGGGAACAAGATTATGGTCTGTTTTGTCCTGCCTTTGGACCCAGTAACTGGAAACTATTAGTAGTCTTTTTTTAAATTAGAAATTAAATTCCTATTTGATTAAGTGTCAGTGTCTTTTCCAGAGGCTTGGAGAAAAAGATCCAAGCAATTAGGAGTTACCATGTTACCTTGCATAAGTCAATCAACCTGTTTATTTGTTAGTTTCTGAAAATTGAAAGTTTTCCCTTTCATACTTTGTCATACATATCAATATGAAGTGCCAAAAAGTATTGTTTTAGGTTTTTATTAATATTTTAATTAGGGGTGTCCTATTTCATGGTCAATTCATTGCTACTGTATCATTATGGAAGAGTCATACAAGTTATTAACCATCAATTTTAGACAAGGTGTTTCAAACTGAGGTGCTGATTATGGATAAAATGCTTCACTGTGCAGTGCAATGCTATGCATGTTTACTAGAAAGTAAGTAGTCATTAAATTCCCTTAGGCTTACTCCTGAAAGCTATGTGCAAGGATTGCAACTAACTTTTGATTTTTCTTTTGGATAACTATTTGTTTTATTGCAGAAGTCTTTATCAGTGTTGAATATCAGCAATAACAATATTGATGGACTGAGTGATTTAGGAATTCTAGAAAATATTTTCCACCTCATAGCTGTTGACAATCAGCTTCACCATATGAAGGTAATAAGAAGGAATAATTTCTCAGTTCAAATTATTTGTTTAGAAGGGACAAGTTAAAGTTAATGGGATACTTGTATGTAACAACCATGTTCAGCAGCAAATCATGGTTAATTAACTTGTGAGCTTCTTCTAGTTTGCAGCAACAAGCTTTGAATGTTACATGGTAAGTTGTTCCCATGAAGTTCAATGTCTGTGCATTTTTCAGTTGTTATGGGTTAATCAATCCATACAAGTTAACCATTAAAGTTAACAGTCCAAACCCATGGTTAACCTTGGGTTGCAGCTCATATAAATGCAATTCCTTGATTAATTATCCTGCAATTTGTCAGTAAAAACTGTTGGAAACAATTCAATATGTGTCTGAAGACAGTGGTGCCTCGTACTTTGAACTTAATTCATTTCAGGAGGCCATTTGAAGTCTGCATCAGTTTTC